AAAAACTCAGGAAACTGTGATTCACATTCAACAAAAAAGGTAATGGATAAAGCCCCTTACTTCTTATGGTATAATGTAGAAAAAAAATTTAGAAAACCCAAATCCCGAGATGACCTAGATGTTGAAATCAGCAGATAAAAAGTTTAAAGCAGCCAAGTGCAGTGGCTCATGCCTGTAATCCCAGCATGTTGGGAGGCTGAGTGAGGCAGGAAGATCACTTGATGCTAGGAGTTTGAGACTAGCCTGGGCATGACAGTGAGATACCATCTCTACAAAAAATAATTTTAAAAGTTAGCCAGGCATAGTGGCATGCCTGTGGTCCTAGCTACTCCTGAGGCTGAGGTGGGAGGATTGCTTGAGCCCAGGAGTTTGAGGTTGCAGTAAGCCATAATTGCACCACTGCACTCCAGCCTGGGCAACAGAGAAAGACCCTATCTCAAAAAGAAAAAAAAATTAAGCATTTAAAAAATTTTAAAGTTTTAAAATAACAGCGTTTGAGAATGTAAAAGAAAGTATATTTCTACTGAATGCACAGATAGGAAATCTCAGTGGAACAATAGGAGCTGTAGCAATGCATTATGTGTTTATGGTATATGTAAAAGTACAATGTAGGGCAGCAACATAACAAAGCTTGTGGAGGGAAGAATTGGGAAAACACTGTTGTAAGGTCCATACACTGCATATAAATCACTATACTACTTAAGAGGTAGGTTCTGATTAATCGAAGATGCATATTATAAACCTTAGTTATTAGTCTGCTTTGCATTGCTATCAAGGAATACCTGAGACTAGGTAATTTATAATAAGAGGCTCATTTGGCTTATGGTTCTGCAGGCTGTACAAGCATGGCACCAGCATCTGCTCTGCTTCAAGAAGCTCTTTTTCCTTTTTAAGTTATACTTTAAGTTCTGGGATACATGTACAGAGTGTGCAGGTTTGTTACATGTGCCATGGTGGTTTGCTGCACCCATCAACCTGTCATCTAGGTTTTAAGCCCTGCATGCATCAAATATTTCTCCTAATGCTATCCCTCCCCTTTCCCCATACCCCACGGCAGGCCACAGTGTTTGATGTTCCCTCCCTGTGTCCATCTGTTCTCATTGTTCAACTCTCACTTATGAGTGAGAATATGTGGTTTGGTTTGCTGAGAATGATGTGTTAATTTGCAGAGAATAATGGTTTCCAGCTTCATCCATGTCCCTGCAAAGGACTTGAACTCATTCTTTTTTATGGCTGCACAGTACTCCATGGCATATATGTGCCGGTCTATCATTGATGGGCATTTAGGTTGTTTCCAAGTATTTACTATTGTAAATAGTGCTGTAATAAACATATGTGTGCATATGTCTTTATAGCAGAATGATTTATAATCCTTTGGGTATGTAATAAGACTGCTGAGTCAAATGGTATTTCTGGTTCTACCTCCTTAAGGAATCCCCACACTGACTTCCACAATTGTTGAACTAATTTACACTCCCACCACAGTATAAAAGTGTTCCTATTTCTCCACATCTTCTCCAGCATCTGTTGCCTCCGGATTTTTTAATGATCACCATTCTAACTGGTGTGAGATAGTATCTCAATGTGGTTTTGATTTGCATTTCTCTAATGACCAGTGATGAGCATTTTTTCATGTTTGTTGGTTGCATAAATGTCTTCTTTTGAGAAATATCTGTTCACATCCTTTGACTACTTTTTGATGGGGTTGTTTTTTTCTTGTAAGTTTGTTTAAGTTCCTTGTAGATTCTGGATATTAGACCTTTCTCAGATGGATAGATTCTAAAAATTTTCTCCCATTCTGTAGTGTGCTTGTTCAGTCTGATGATAGCTTCTTTTGCTGTGCAAAAGATCTTTAGTTTAATTAGATCCCATTTGTCAATTTTGGCTTTTGATGCCATTGCTTTTGGTGTTTTAGTCATGAAGTCTTTGCCCATGCCTATGCCCTGAATGGTATTGCCTAGGTTTTCTTTCAAGAAGCTTTTTACTGGTGGTGGAAGGTGAACAGGGAGCAAGTGCATCATGTGGTGAGAGAGGGACAAGGCAGAGAGGGAGAGGTGCCTGTGACCTGTGAATAATCAGCTCTTGTGTGAACTAACAGAGCAGGAACTCATTCATTACCATGGCAAGGGCACCAAGCTATTCATGAGGAATTTACCCCAATGAGACACATACCTCCCACTAGGTCCAACCTCCAACACTGGGGATCGCATTTCTTTCTTTTTTTTTTTTTTTAAATAGAGACAGGCTCTCGCTAATGTTGCCTAGGCTGGTCCTTGGACTCCTGGCCTCAAGTGATCCTCCTGCCTCAGCCTCCCAAAGTGCTGGGATTACAGACCCGTCACTATGCCTGGCCTGGGGATCATATTTCAACATGAGATTTGGAAGAGACAAATATCCAAACCGTATCACCATAGAACAAGTGCCAAAAAAATTAATATAAATAAAAGTCAATAAAAGAAGTAATGTGGAATAGAAAATACTCAGTTTACCCAAATTTCGTGAAAGTATGCAAACTCTCCAGGAATAGATAGTGAAGGAAGGAGAGGAACATAATGTACACAAGGTAGAGATCCCACCTTGGAAGAAAACGTAACTCCAGGTACAAAATTACTCTACAGATTCTCTCTGTAAGAAGGTAAACTCAGTCAAATGAGAGTTTAGTGACAAGATGATAAACCAACAAAATAAGATGGAAAATAATATTGTAGACCTAAAGAAACAACATTATAGATCTGGTAAGTAAATCAGAAACAGTATAGATAAAAGATCTAAAACGCTCACTGTGAATACAGAGGAAAAGACAAAGAGAATGAAGCACACAGACAGAAAATTTCATAGACAGGAAAAACAGTGACCATCCAACATAAGGACAATCTGCTTCCCTGAAATTAACAATCTGGAAAATGAAAGATGTGTTCAAAGATATATGTCACTAAACATTCTTGAAATAAAGAGAGAACTGAGTTTGCAGATTGAAAATATACTAAGATCTGAAAAACAGATGCAGAAGGCACAACACTAAGACATACACTAGTTATGCCACCAAAATTCAGGGACAGGCTGGGCATGGTGGCAGACGCCTATAATCCCAGCTCTTTGGGACTGTGTAGAGGCAGGAGGATCACTTGAGCCCAGGAGTTTGAGATCAGTCTGGCAACTTAGTGAGACCCTGTCTGTACAATTTTTTTTTTTTTTTTTAGTTAGCCAGGTGTGGTGGTGCGTACCTGTGGTCCCAGTTATTTGGGAGGCTGAAGCAGGAGGAATGCTTGGGCCCAAAGTGCTGAAATTGCTCAGGAGGTCGAGGCTGCAGTGAGCTATGATCATGCCACTGCACTCAAGCCTGGGCAACAGAGCAAGCGAGACCTTGTCAGAAAGGAAGAAGGAAGGGAAGAAGGAAAGGAAGGGGAGGGGAGAGGAAGGTAGGAAGGCAGGAAGGCAGAAAGGAAGGAAGCAAGAGAGGGAGGGAGGGAGAGAAGGATGGAGGGGGGGAGGGAGGCAGGGAGGGAGAGTGAGAGGGAGGGAGGGAGAGAGAGAGGGAGGGAGGGAGAGGGAGGGAGGGAGAGAGAGAGGGAGGGAGGGAGAGGGAGAGAGAGGGAGGGAGGAAGGGAGTTCTAGTATAAATGACTCTTAGGCAATCAGCCAGAGAAAGCAAATCACCAATAAGAAAAAAAATGAAGCAGGCCTCAGACTTTTCCACAGCCAAACTCAGTAGCAGAGGACAACAGACCAAAGTCTACAACATACCAAAGGGGGAAAATGTGACCTGCAGATGTTATATTCAAGATAAATATCCAGGATGCAGTCATAATTTTCTTGAGTTTCATTTAAATTTCTGTTTTTCTGATACACTCAAGTACAAGTAAATTCTTACAGAGAACAGCAGCTACATAAACCCATCTTTATAAACGCATTTCTTTCTGCCTAGCTCTTCCTTCCATATATGTGCCATGGAGAGATGCCAGGAATCCTGTGGACAGTGGTTATTTCTGGGTAGTGGGCTTGGTTCGATTGTTTACTTCAGTCTCTTCCCGGTGGCACTGGACCTGCCTCACGCAGCAGTGGGGAATATAAAGAGACGAAACAGGAACATGCTTTGCATGGCACCCGGCACAGGAGGCCTTGGAAACTAGAACGCTGGGGTCTGCTATAAGCAAGTGTGGTTGGTGGAACCAGGCTGAAACCTGAGAATCTGCCATTTTTCAGCTTGCTAGTGAGACGGTCTGAGAATCATAGAAGGTGCTCCGTGAATATTTGCTGCTCTGAATTAAGATGAAACCAGACAGTGACAACCCATTTCAGCAAGTCATGCACAGGCAGTAACTCCTGAAGCACCAAACCCACCAAGGCCAGGAAAACGACCCAAGGCTGGGAAGGGAGAGGATCCGATTGCATTAGCCATACATTCACCTTCAAGAACTGGACCCTGACTCTCTCCAAAGCCACCCAACAGGCCGACAACCCTGGGCACCATATCGAGGAGGCCAGGGTAAAGGCTGTTAGCATGAGGAGACTTGCTCTGCCTCAAGGTTCTATCTAATGACTTGGCTTTGCGTGTCTAATATAACTAAATTCCTCAGCTATCTGCCCTTTTCTGTTAAGATTTTTCCCATCATTCAAGAAAAAATTTTGAAAACACAGAAGCAGCAGAAAGAACAAAATCACACCCAGGAGTGTCTCACTTAAGGACAAGCTGAGTATTTTGGAATGTTTTCCAATCCGCTGCAGATATTCCAGACACATCCCCTGCGTTATCATTAGCTCTTCGTGGAAGTCACTGTTCCCGGCTGCAGATGTTCCCGCGTGGCTATGCTGTGACTCACTTAGCCTTTTCCCATTGTTAAGCATTTACATTATTCTTATAAATAATGATACCATGGCTAGCTTTGCAGATAATGTATTTTCTATATTTGAAAGTATTTCCTCAGGAAGGATTCAAAGAAAAGGAATTACCATGCGAAAAGATACTGAAATCTTTAGGTATATACTTTTAAAATACTTACCTTGATTTCCCACAAAATATCTACAGTTCAAGTCATTATTGATGCTAAGATTCTTCAAAAACACATTGTAATCTACTGCAGTATCTTTGTGGACGTTGTAGTGTTTCGAAAACCTAAAATACAAATGCTCTTTAGAAATGAAGAACTGTGAATCTAAAATGAGGTAAGTTTGCTACTAAGGTATCCTTTACACACGGGCTGGCATTAATTTTAATGTCTGTTTCGAGCTACAGAGGGAATTAAAAAGTAAAGCCCAGAAAATGTTACTGTCAGATTTTTTTTTTTTAATGCAGCTACTTTGAGATGACTTCTTCAACCTACAGATGGATGCATAGAGATTAGAGTGAGACATAAATGTTGCTGGACCTGTTGAGGAATGCCCCAACCTAGGCACCATCTAAGGAGTTTCTCCCTCCTCTGGCGGGAGGGGAGCTGGGGCTTTGTCTGCATGGCAGCCGCCTCTCCACTCCAACAGCAGTAGCAGGTCCCACTTGCCTTTAATAATTGGAGGGAAATGAGTCAGCCAGCACAACATTTCCGTAAGCCGGGAAATGGAGAGCTGCGTGGAGGAGCCAGCAGAGATGATCTTGACTGAGCAAGTCCTTTCTCCAGAGAGAAACTGAGGCTCACAGATGGCGTATGGCTTCACAACAGGGGATGGTGGGGGGGGGGGCAAAGCTTCTCTTGAAGCATTCTGTGATTTTTGTATGTAACATATAAAATAAGACATTTTTAAAGCACTGAACCACTGTCTATCCTTAAAATATACTGAGATACTTTTTTTTTTTTGAGACAGAATCTTGCTGTTGCCCAGGCTGGAGTACAGTGCTGCTATCTCAGCTCACCACAACCTCCACCTCCCAGTTCAAGCGATGCTCGCACCTCAGCCTCCCGAATAGCTGGCATTGCAGGCATGCACCAGCACGCCTGGCTAGGTTTTTGTATTTTTAGTAGAGACAGGGTTTTGCCATGTTGGCCAGGCCGGTCTCAAACTCCTGGCCTCAAGTGATCTGCTCACCTCAGCCTCCTAAAGCATTGGAATTATAGGCATTAGCCACTATGCCTGGCTGAAATAATCTTCTTTAGAGTTAAGATAAATAGGATGTTTGAATTTTTAAAATAAATGTTCTATTTTATTCAAGTCTTCTACTTGATAAATGGTTTTCTAGATCATTTCTGTGTTATTACATTTCTAAAAATTGACAGTTTTTAAATGTTTGGTTATATTATCTCCATATGTGTTGATTTCTATAATTATCTAATCTCACACTGCTTTCTAAAAATTTAGTAATTATCACTTAAAGTATTTGTTATTTTTCTGTTTTCCAAATTTAACAAAGAGTAATGTCATGTAGTTATTTCAATGCATACCTTTTTTTTCCACTTTGATGAATCATGCCTATTGTTTTAATAAGATAAATGATCTCTAGGTGTGATAGCTGCCAGATGTTAACACTGAGACTCCCTAAACAGCTTCATCTTTCATCCACAGTCTCTGTCTTGTGAAAATGAGGTGGTAAGTTTGAGAAACCAGAAGGCCTAAATGAGGGGAGAAGGGTATGACTCCAATCAGCTCATAAACCTCTCCACCATCACCACCTGGAACTTCAGTCATCTGCTCAGGCAACAGGCTGCACTGCAGTGATTTGTTTGCTGGTTTTACAAAGCTGCTCATAAATTATTTCACCTATATCAAACATGCTGGCCTCCAGGGCAGTGGAGCGTAGACTGGAGGGAAATGGGAAAGGAAATAGAAAACTCGATGGGTTTTGGGATATTCTGATTAAGCAGAAGGCTTGGTGGTGATTTTCTCTCTGGCCTCTTGTTTTATGTAGGTTGGACAGTATTCTGTGGCCTAAATGAAACAGTGCATCACAGGGTAAAGGGCATTCACGGATTCTTTATGATGATGAGACGGTTACCATGAAACCAGCCCTACTATGTGCAAATGCATCATAGGCATGTTATATACATTACATTGAGTCTTCATCCCAGCCCTGAGAGGTGGGCTGCTCAGTCCCCATTTCTTTTCTTTTTCTTTTTTTTTTGAGATGAAGTCTTGCTCTGTCACCAGGCTAGTGTGCAGTGGCGAGATCTCAGCTCACTGCAACCTCCGCCTCCCAGGTTCAAGCTATTCTCTTGCCTTAGCCTCCCCAGTAGCTGGGACTACAGGCGCCCGCCACCACACCCAGCTAATTTTTGTACTTTTAGTAGAGACGGGATTTCAACATGTTGACCAGGATGGTCTCGATCGCTTGACCTCATGATCTGCCCTCCTTAGCCTCCCAAAGTGTTGGGATTACAGGTGTGAGCCACCACACCCAGCCAGCCCCCATTTCTTTTTTTTTTTTTTTTTTTTTAGACCGAGTCTCGCTCTTATTACCCAGGCTGGAGTGCAATGGTGTGATCTCAGCTCACTGCAACCTCTGCCTCCTGGGTTCAAGCAATTCTCCTGCCTCAGCCTCCCGAGTAGCTGGGACTACAGGTGTGTGCCACCACGTCCACCTAATTTTCATATTTTTGGTAGAGACGGGGTTTCACCATGTTGACCAGGGTGGCCTCGATCTCTTGACCTCGTGATCTGCCCTCAGCCTCCCAAAGTGCTGGGATTACAGGCGTGAGCCACCACATCCAGCCAGTCCCCATTTCTTTAAGAGAAAACTGAGTCTTGACAAGGCCCAGGAGCTATCCTGAAGCCCCAGAACCAGGGACAAGAGAGCACGACTTCACCTCCTGCAGCCTGACTTCAAAGCCTGGGTCATTTCTACCACACCAAGAGCCGAATGTTGATATGAAATAGAAAGCTGTTAGATACAAGAAAGGATTCAAAAATGTATTGTGTTTCCTGCTCAAAAATAAAAAAAGACAAAGTTAATACTGAAGCAGCTTCTCCAGGAAAGAGTATATTCTTGAGCTTCAATGAGAAAAGCATTAAAGCAATTGAAGAAATGGTCTACTTTTGATCTTCTGCATTTCTTAGTCTAAAGCAAAGCAATTCTATTATGTTTAGTTTCTCAAGCCTTATCACGAAAATAGCATTGTTTTTGAGGCTTAAAAAAAATCTCGAATAAAAACTTGTGGAGTTCTTTATTATTCAATACTTATGAGATGGGGAAACAGTAACATTTTTTATAGATTTACTAGGTTGGAGACTGCAGTGCCAAACACAAGGTTTATTGTCAAATAAAACACTGTTTTGTTTTTTGATTGCCTGTTTTAGAAGAGTGCTGCCTCTGTTCTATAATTGCGTGCACAAAATTATTTAATTTGTTTTGTTTGGATCTTATTCTGGACACTTTCCCAGCCGGAAAAGATGTAAAAATTAAAACATCTATTATGTCTTTTATATTCTGAGGTGGGTTATAAAGAGGAAAAGATAAGAAAAAGATATTCAAAACGGTAGGGGATGTCATTTTTTAAAAGTCTGCCTGCTGATTTTCAGACCCTGCAGCTTCAGTGACATGTCACATGCCCTCTAGACTTCCTTGCCTCAGTGGCAAATTCTTCCACTCTGCTTCCAGCAGCAGCCACATCGCCTTTATGAGCTACAAGGAGCCACCGGGACCCATTTTCATAGCAACTTAGAACACCAATGCCATGTGAGAAGCTCAGGCTCCTGGTGAAAGGAGGCTTGGTGCTTTTGTTAACGGTCTGGAGGGTAATTAGAAAAGTGTTTGGGAAAAGGCACGAAGAGGGAATGGACCTCTTGGTGAGGTACTATCAAGATGAAGCTAGACATGGGCCCTCCTTCCAGTGGCTTTCACTCAAAACCCAGGTAGCCACAGAAGCTGAACATCTGGCTTCTTCTAAATGATCTGGAGTTTCTAGAAGGCTAAAAAAAAAAAAAAAAAAAAAAAAGATGCCCGTGCAGGCTTCTGCGTGCTGCCCTTGGAGTCAGGAGCAGGTGGTGGTGGTATTCAAATGCTATGAGGCAGCTAAATATTCTGTTGTTCATCATCCTCCTGCTGCACCCCACCCCCCACCTCAGCAACAGCAGTCCTCAAAGGGAAATTAAGTCTCCGTTATTGTATCAGGATTCAGAGCCAACGGGGAGCACAGCCACAAACGCCTGAATACTGAAATTTGTCATTCTTCTCCTAACCCCAGGCTTTGAGTAAAATCAACAGTGAACTAGAAATATGTGGGATGGGGGGCGTGGTGCCAAGTGAGGAAACAGACAATTGGTGATGGATCGCTCCAATAACCTGGATATGTTCAAAGCTGCAGGCCAGAGGATGTACCCCAAGGGTGCTTAAGGAATCAGAACCATTAGATCTCATTTTTGAGAATTCATGGGGAGCTTTAGGAACATGAGAGAATGTCCAGTGAGTGCCTCTTTGAGAAATAAGGTCGGTGGGGTGAGGGGAGAGGATGAGAGATGGATGGAGCCAATGAACCCAACAGGTCTCGTTTTGAGATTGGTTAAAAGTTCCACTGAGCAACCTCTCACCGTGCCTTCATTTGCTTACTTTTCGTATTCCTCGTCTCTTAACTTCAAACAGAAGGTCTCCAGAACCCTTCTGAGCTCCTGCGGTTGAACCAGTCCAGTCTTGTTAACATCAATGAGCTTAAAGGCTTTCATAACAGTCTTAATGTTTTTGAAAACCTATGTATAAAAAGTGATTTAGGAAAAGTCAAAAGATCTAGTGTTAGAAACCAAATGGTAATACAAATGTGAAAGTTTTTTTAATACTTCTTATAAAATAAAATGTTTTCAAAGACTCACAGTGGTAGGCATTGCAAAAATGACATGTGTATGGAAAAAAAGAACACTTTGCATTTATTGAATGTTTTCAAGGCAATTTTCTCTGTAAATGGTCTTAGCAATTTAAAAAAAAATCTCTTTCTGATGTAAAGCAATAAGTCTCATACACAATTCATTCCCTTTTAAGGCCAAAGGAAAAAAATCTTTTTTGTTAATTGATACTTAAAAACTACAGTTCTGGCATAGCTGGACTTGTACAATTTTTATTTTGCACAGCCATATGCAAACTATTTTTACTAGGAGCTGGAAAATATGACTGTATGTTTCAACCCCTCTAAATTTTTTAAAGATATCACAGAAAAGTTTTGTAGAGACTTCTCCAAATTCAGCAAATGAGATTTACTGGGCGCACAGACACACCCGGCATTCAGATAAGCCCTGTGGCTGCACAGGGGCACCCAGTTGTGCTCTTGCCGTTAAACTACTTATATTCAAAGGAAAGAGGCACAGAGCTATGTGAAGGAACCCTTCCATACCCCCTGAAGGAGATACCATTTCCCCAGTGTCAGATAGGAAAACTGACTGCTCCCTGCTCACACCCCACCCCTTGTTATTACCAAGGACTGCTGACTCCACACAACCCAGCGCCATGCTGCAGCCACCCACCTCCTTTCCAGCTTACTCTTTTGGGTGCCCAGACCACAGCCTTGACCTACCAGGCCCTTCCCTGGGCTCCTGCCTCCCTCCACACTCCTCCACTTCTCCCAGCTTCACTTCCTTCTCAACCCTTTGCTGCTTTGCATATATGCTTGATTCCCTCCTCCCCTCTGCCCCTTCCTACTCTCTGGGTGAGACCCTAACCTGGGGTAAACCCAACTCACTGCCTCTTCCAAACCCATCCAAATGGCTTGAGGTAGCTGGATAGAAACACACCATGAGCACCTCCTTGGCTCTCCTAACTTGAGACCACCAACTCCACCAGGACAGGTGCTGCACGGTAATCCCTCTTTACTGCCATGGTCCACCTGCACACATCATCACTCTCACACACACATGCACACACACCTGCATATACTCACACACAGTCACATCACTCACACACACACATATTCACACACACACCTGTGCATATACTCACACACAATCACTCATATTCACACACACATACATGCAGACACCTGCATATACTCACACACACACATCACTAACACACATATATTCACACACATGCACATATACTCACATGCACATACCTGCATATACTCACACACTCATCACTCATACACATATGCACACATATGCCCATTACTCATACATACACCTGCATATATTCACACACTCACACCATCACTCACATACACATATATTCACAAACACATGCACATTACACACAAACCTGCATATTCACACATTCACACCATCACTCACATATACATATATTCACATGCTCATATACTCATACAAACCTGCATATACTCTCACACACTCACACCATCACTCACACACATATATTCACACACATGCACATATACTCACATACACACCATCACTCACACATATATTCACACTCATACATGCACATATACTCACATAGACACATACCTGTATATACTTACACACCATGATTCTCACACATGTATATTCACACACCTGTGCATATACGCACATGCACATATACTTGTACATATAATCACACACCCCAACACTCACACCCACACTCGCACATACCCCATCCACGCAGCCATTCCCACCTTCTCCATTCTCCTAATCCCCAATGTCTCCTCCCGCCTCCTTCTGCTTTTCTGACAACCTTACCTCTTGTTTAACAGAGAAAACAGAAACGACTGAAAGACAGCGTTCCCATTCCCCACCCCCACTGCAGCTGGTCTGGCTCCACCCCCAGATGAGACAGGTGCCTCCCGACCTATTGTAAGGGATCAAGGGATGAATAACTGTAATCCTACCTATGGCCAGGTGGGGTCACGCGCCACACGTCACCCTGATTCTGTCCCCATGCGAGGAAGTGCTCCTGCCCATCCTACTTGCTCTGGGCTGACCCCATGAAGATGAGCTGCTGTCTCCAAAACAAAACCTCCCTCCTTGCCTCACCTCTTTCCCTAGTCACCTGTTCCCCTAGACTGAATTCCCCTCTCAAGGTTATCTCCAATGTGTCCTCCTCTCTTAAAATTTCTCCAGGCCCGGCGCAGTGGCTGGCGCCTATAATCCCAGCAATTTGGGAGGCTGAGGCCAGTGGATCACCTGAGGTCAGGAGTTTGAGACAAGCCTGGCCAACAGGGTGAAAACCCGTCTTTACTAAAAATACAAAAAAAATAGCCAGGCATGGTGGCACATGCCTGTAATCCCAGCTACTTGGGAGGCTGAGGCAGGAGAATCACTTGAACCCCGGAGGTGGAGGTTGCAGTGAGCTGAGATCATACCACTGCACTCCAACCTGGGAAACGAGAGCGAAACTCCATCTCAAAAAAAAAAAAAAAATCTCTCTAATCACTTTTGTCCACACTACAGCACAAACACTGTTCTTGTCCATGTGACCAAAGACCTCTCCCTTGTCAAACCCAAGGGCTGCTTCTCAGTCCTCATCTTGCTGTCCCTGCAGCTGCCTTTGACACAGCTGCTTGACCCTTCTTCCTTGAGGCACTTTTTCTGCTTGGCTTCCAGAGCCCACTCTCTCTCCTCCTCCAGCCTCCCTAGAGTCTCCTTCTCGGCCTCCCTTGCTGGTTCGTCCTCCTCTTCCCATCTCTAAGCCTGGAGCGTTTTAGGACTCAGTCTTCAGGATCATACTGGCATCTTGGTGGTTCAATCCTGTGACTTCAGCGTCCCACTGATGACTCCCAAATGTCTGCCTTGAGCGCTGATCGCTTCTCAGAGCCCAGTTCTGAATATCCGACTGCCCATTTGATGTCCACCTTGCAACTCTAACAGAAATCTCAGGCGTGTCAAACCCAAGCTGCTCTCCCCACAGTCTCCCATGCCAATAAATGGCAAATCCATTCTACTGGGTTCATTTTTGCTCACATCCCATTTACAGTCTACCAGGAGAGCCCATCAGCCCCTCCCACCAAACCATTTCCAGAATTCAATCATGTTTTACCACCCCCACCCCGCTTCCCCCTCTTCCCCTCCACACCCCAGTCTAGTCCAGGCCTCTCTCTTGGTCCTCTAGCCTCCACACTTGACTCCACACAGCAGCCAAGGAGTTTCTGTTTAAATGTAAGCCTGAGCATGCCCTCCTTGCTCAAAGCACCCCAGGGTTCCCACTCTACTTGCTGTGATCCACCAGGCCCCACCAACTGGCTCCTGGCCACCCCCTGGCCATGTCTCCCTCCACCCATCCCCCACCTGCCGCTTTCTGGCCACACTGGACTCCACTACTCGGCCCCCTCCTGCCTCAAGGCGGTGGCACTTGCTGCTCCTTCTGCCTGGAACATTCTTCCCCCCAACGCTCACTGGCTCACTCCCTGGCTTCATTCAGGTCTTGGCCCAGATGCCATCTTATCAGAAAGGCCCTCCCTAATCACTGTGCGAATTAGGACTCCCCACCCCAATACTCTTATCTTCTCTCCAAAGTCCTCCTCAACTGACATCGCCTCCTTTTGTCTTTATGATCCATCTCTCGCCTTGAGAGTAGGGTTTGCTCATGGCCCCAGCTCTAGGACAGCATCTGGCACAGTATGGACACTCAGCGAGTATCTGTTGGAGTGAGTGAATCTGTCTCCTCACCTGCCTGGAAAAGAGCCATGCTCTGCGGAAGCCTTGTGATATGTCTGCACATACCTCCTTAGCCGATTGGCCCACACATTCAGGACCAATCCAAAGTGCAGTAACGATGACAATCAGTATCAATGCCATGATGATTCAATAACATGATCTTGGCACAGACATGAACCGAATGAATGCCTGTTATGTGCAGAGCCCCGTGTTTAATTCCACACCAGCCTCCTGACACAGAGAACAACTGACAACTAGCAAACGCTGGCTAACATGGCCTCAGTTTCCAAAACCGGGAATGCCGAGTGCAGACAAGAGGGAACAGCACCAGCAGAAGTAAAGCCGACTCCGGTGCCTCTGTCCACATCAATGCTCTGTCTAAAAGAGGGAGCCTCAGCCACTAACAGCACCTGCTCCCGTGGCCAAATAAAAATCTCAGCACTTTTTCTGCTGCCAAAGCCGGATTCACCTCCTTCGGTAAAATGGAGGACATGAGACGATGCGCTTTTTTAAAACCCCAGAGCAACCCATATGGATCTCCAGCGTGAGCGCCGGGAAGCAGCAACCTGGCAGCAAGCTCACACCCACCAGAGCGACGTCTCCAAGGCTCTTATCATTTGTCAGACTGAAGTTTGGCAAGGGCTGAAGAATTGAGCTGCAGATGGTGAGGCTTATCAAAGGCAACAAAGTTAGGGCCGTGGTGTCCAAGACTTGTCCCACACAGGGGAGGAGAGAAGAAAAAAGTAAGAAGAAGGAGTAAAGTGGCTAAGCTAAGGCCCCGACAATAGTGACTGTGCCCACACCACCCACCCTCCTCTCCCAGTCACGGTCTCCGGACTCCAGCCATGCTGAGTGACTTCAAATTCACAAGCGTATCAGGGCTCTTCTCACCTGCTGTGAGCCCCTATTTATAGATGGTCTGACCCCTGCCTTATATACCCCTTCTCACTCGGCCTCAGCTATGGGGCCTCTTCCTTCTTTCTTACATGCACCAAGCTTGCTCACGCCTCCCTGCCTGCCTTCATTCAGGTCTCCATCCCACGCCGCCACTCAGAGGCCTTCCTCACTCGCCTGTTGGAAAGTGCACCTTCATCCTCTGCTGGCCATTTGCTTCATTTTTCTTCTTAGCATTCATCAACACCTGGACCATTTCCTATTTATTCCTGTAGCTG